TGCTGTTCTTGAGAAGAACTTTTTTATAAATTTTTCCTATGTAAAACTTTAATCAACCATTGTGGCCCCGCCCTACCCCTGGTGATCATGATTTGAACAAAACTTGAATCTACAAATCCTGAGGATGTATCCACATAATTTAAAATTTTCTTGGCCCAGTGGTTCTTGACAAGATTTATCCAATGTATTCCAATGTAAAACTTAAATCATCCATTGTGTACCCACTACCCCCAGCGGTCATGATTTGAACAAACTTAATCTACATTACCTAGAGGATGTTCCTTTCTAAATATGACCAATCATGGCTCAGTGGCTCTGGAGAAGAAAATTTTTAAAAAATTTTCCTAGAATCTATTCCTTTGTAAAACTTGATCGTCCATTGTAACCCCAGCCTACTCCTTCGTGCTATGATTTAAACAATCATGTTCTTGAGAAGATTTTTAAAAGATGCTATTCATTTTTTTTTGTTAATTTGCAATTATCTCCCCTTGGAAGAAGGTGTTCCCTTCATTTGAACAAACTGAATTGCCTTTACCCAAAGATACTTTGAACCCCGTGATATTTTGAGTCGGGTTCAAAATATCGCTGCGAAATATTGAACCCCCCTATAAAATATTGAACCCGGATATTGAACCCCCTGCCCTTTTTAATTTTAGAGGGAGGGGGGTTCAAAATATTATGGCCATAAAATATTGAACCCCCCTGTCCTTTAAATTTAAGAGGGAGGGGGTTCAAAATATTATGGCAATATAATATCCAGTCCCCTGCCCTTTAAATTTTACAGGGAGGGGGTTCAAAATATTATGGCCATAAAATGTTGAACCCCCTGTCCTTATAATTTATGAGGGAGGGGGTTCAAAATATTATGGCCATAAAATATTGAGTCCCCCTGCCCTTTTAATTTAAAAGGGAGGGGGGTTCAAAATATATGGCCGTAAAATATTGAACCCCCTGTCCTTATAATTTATGAGGGAGGGGGTTCAAAATATTATGGCCATAAAATATCGAGCCCCCTGCCCATTTAATTTTACAGGACGGGGGGTTCAAAATATTATGGCCATAAAATATTGAACCCCCCTGTCCTTTTAATTTAAAAGGGAGGGGGGTTCAAAATATTATGGCCATAAAATATTGACCCCCCCCCCCTGTTCTTTAAGTTTAAGAGGGAGGGGGTTCAAAATATTATGGCCATAAAATATCGAGTCCCCTGCCCATTTAATTTTATAGGGATGGGGGTTCAAAATATTATGGCCATAAAATATTGAACCCCCCTCCCTGTAAAATTAAAAGGGCAGGGGGACTTGATATATTATGGCCATAATATTTTGAACCCCTTCCCTCTTAAATTAAAAGGGCAGGGGGACTCGATATTTTATGGCCATAATATTTTGAACCCCTCCCTCTTAAATTAAAAGGGTAGGGGACTCGATATTTTATGGCCATAATATTTTGAACCCCCCTCCCTCTTAAATTAAAAGGGCAGGGGACTCGATATATTATGTTCATAATATTTTGAACCCCCTCTGTCTTAAATTAAAAGGGCAGGGGGACTCGATATTTTATGGCCATAATATTTTGAACCCCCTCCCTGTAAATTAAAAGGGTAGGGGACTCAATATTTTATGGCCATAATATTTTGAACCCCCCTCCCTGTAAAATGAAATGGGCAGGGGGACTCAATATATTATGGCATAATATTTTGAACCCCCTACCTCTTAAATTAAAAAGGTAGGGGTTCAATATTTTATAAGGGGGTTCAATATATTGCAGCGAAAATGTGAACCCGGGTTCAAAATATTATGCGATATTTTGAACCCGGGTTCAATATATCGCGGTATCAAAATATTATGCTACACCGGTAGTGTCCGGTAGTTCTTGAGAAGTCAAATATGTGAAAATTTTACAGACCGACTGACAATGGACAAAATGTGATCAGAAAAGCTCACTTGAGCTTTTAGCTCAGGTGAGCTAAAAAGGATGTCTGATCATCATTCACACTTTTATTTTACTTGTAAAAATATATACTGTAAAAGCACAAATATTCATTAGGGATTAAATTTCGTTTATTTAGTTTTTAACAATCATAACGAAATTAAATCCCACACGAAATTTTAAATGATTATGTACTGAATAAGGTTACCTTCAAAACAACGAAATTAAATGCCCACTAAACTATTCTTGGTAACAAATCAATGAAATTTTATCCCCATGAAAATCTGTGCTTCTACAGTATTACTTTAGTTTTGAATTATTTGGACAAATGCCTTACCTGTCATCACTGCACAGGTTTTTTTAAATTTTATTTTTTTATGTGTACTGTTCATGATTAAAAAACATAGTAAACTTAGATTATTAAATATTGAAAGGCATAAATCAATTTTTAAACACATCTGTAATGCAATAATCTATATCTATAGTATTATTAAGCAATTTAACTTTCATCTGGTATTTACTTTTATCAGTATTTAAACATACCAAATGTACTGAAACTTATCTAAAAGATGGATTTCCTCTCTTTTGCAATAACACAGAACTCTGTATGTCAAACAAGAAATCTGTGAGCCAATGCTCACTAGTAATACCCCCACTGATGTAAATAAGCACTATCATGTTAATACATGCAGATGCACAGAAAAATATGAAATTGACATCAGATTCATATCAAAATTAATTCCACCATATGGCATGCCTCAACAATGAGTGTAATAAAATTTCAAGCATCTGCTATAAATAGCTAATGAGAAAACCGCGACAAAGATTTGTTATGTATGAAACGGACAGACACACAGACAAACAGGAAGTTGACATCGGATTTGAGCAAAAATGTATCCCACCATATGGCATGCCTCAGAGAAGATTGTGTTAAAGTTTCAAGCATCTACCATGAGTAGTTGCAGAGAAAACTGCGACGAAAATTTGTTATGTATGAAACGGACAGATGCACAGACAAACAGGAAGTTGACATCGGATTTGAGCAAAAATACATCCCACCATATGGCATGCCTCAGAGAAGATTGTGTTAAAATTTCAAGCATCTACTATGAGTAGTTGCCGAGAAAACTGCGACGAAAATTTGTTATGTATGAAACGGACAGACGCACAGACAAACAGGAAGTTGACATTGGATTTGAGCAAAAATGTATCCCACCATATGGCATGCCTCAGAGAAGATTGTGTTAAAGTTTCAAGCATCTACCATGAGTAGTTGCAGAGAAAACTGCGACGAAAATTTGTTATGTATGAAATGGACAGATGCACAGACAAACAGGAAGTTAAAACCAGATTTGAGCAAAAATGTATCCCACCATATGGCATGCCTCAAAGAAGATTGTGTTAAAATTTCAAGCATCTACTATGAGTAGTTGCTGAGAAAACTGCGACGAAAATTTGTTATGTATGAAACGGACAGATGCACAAACAAACAGGAAGTTAACATCGGATTTGAGCAAAAATGTATCCCACCATATGGTATGCCTCAGAGAAGATTGTGTTAAAATTTCAAGCATCTACCATGAGTAGTTGCTGAGAAAACTGCGACGAAAATTTGTTATGTATGAAACAAACAGACGCACAGACAAACAGGAAGTTGACATCAGATTTGAGCAAAAATGTATCCCACCATATGGCATGCCTCAGAGAAGATTGTGTTAAAATTTCAAGCATCTTCCATGAGTAGTTGCTGAGAAAACTGCGGCGAAAATTTGTTTCGGACGGACACACAGACAGACACACAAGGGTAAAACAGTATACCTCCCTCGCCTTCGGAGTGGGGGTATAAAAATGGACATACTGTTGAGCAAGCAAAACACAAATTTTACACTGGCTAAAGAAACCCACAACACAGTAACTATATAAATCTATATATTTCTGGTGGTCATGAATTCGTGGGTTTCTCCATACCTTGAAAACAACAAGATTGAAACATCCATGAAAAGTTCTGATTTCTCAATACCATTTTGACCTCTTTTTTAAATTTGCCCGGCCACAGTTACTGTAAACGTGGTTATATTGACGATTTGAAAAATTGCAATTTTTTGTTAATGAAAATTGACAAGTGTTAATTTTAAAGAAATATTGAATCAAGAGTTATGTATCTTTGAATTCATAAATTAAAAAAAATGAATTCCAGAGTTCGAGTTAGACCATCTACAGTGTGTAAGATTGTACAAACCCTATAAGTGTGTAAGATTCAATTATATAAATTACTCTTTTGTATTTTGTTTTCATTAGAAGCGATCAATGTTGCCTGAGGTGACAAACTTGGTCAAGCACGGCGTGATAATTACACTAAGTTACGCATGCTAATATTTGATTCACTAGCATAGATTCAATGGTCTTTAAAAGATGTCATAACTAATTACAAAGGAAATTAACAATAACTTTGATCTAGTTTTAATATAACGTAGGGGAAAGCCGAGAAAATTAAGCGGTAAAGTTGTACAATGGACAATGTCTGTTGTGACGTTTTATATATGATTTGAAGTTTGACGAGTGTAACTTTTGACAAGGAAAGAAAAATCGTCAATATAGTCAAAATTAGTATATCATCAAAATTTCCTCGTTTACAGTATGTAAAGACTAAGAGAAATAAATACATTTACTAGTATTTTAGTTGAATTAGCCTATTGATGAAGGCAAAAAATGCTAAAACAAAACAAGGTCAAATACTATGAAATCACTATTTTTCATGTGGGTTTAATTTTCAGTGTTTTTGAGGTATGGAGAAACCCACAAATATATGACCACCACAACATGTAAAATTTCATATGCATTATTACAAACATTTTCCAACCACGAATTCAAATCCCACAAACCAATATTTTTTTCTCAAACCTCGAAAATTTGACCCCACAAAATATGTGATTTTACAGTATTTCACAGTTTTATGGCATTCATTCAAGCACAGCTTGTGAACACATGATGACATCATAAGAACCTGAACTCTTTATTCATTTTTTCAAAAAATTATTTACTACAACACAACTATATAAAGTATCCAACACAAGGAGTCACTTTTCTTTTATAATAAATCGAACTTGTAATTAATTTTAAAAAACTATATTTCTACATGTACAAAATATTTTATGACATGGAATTTTTTAGAAAAACTACCATACTGGATGAGCTAATGACCTCTGTGAAGATACATCTTAAGTCTGTTATACACTAAGCCCAAGTTTGATTTTCCTTTCACTGAATTCTATTTGTGTGAGATTCATTCTATCTCTAATATGTTATGCTCTTAGAATTCTGTCAATTAACTGACATCTTACAAGAAAAGGCAATCTGCTTCAGCAAACCTAAGTCAAATCGGAGAGTTTCAAAGTCCTTGTCTTCTGTGATTTTCAGGATGTGACCGGCAAATCTTTCAATGTACACTGACAATTTAAAGGCTGTTCCAAAGTCTTGATGGAATTGTAATACTCCTGAACCTTTCACTGCTTGTGTGGGAGTGGATCCATTTTCAGTTGAGCAACTGACAGTTTTCTTAGAACAACCTTCTGTTCCATTATACTGTTTTATGACCTTTTCGCTCTTTCCATGGTGTTTGTCACTTTTACAAGACAGGTTCAGTTTTCCATTCATTAGAGCCTGAATTTGATTGTAGTCCATCACTTTAAGATAAGAATGAATCAATGTAGTTATCACAGCGATGTACTTAGCACACTCCTCTCGGTCTGCAAATCCACGATCCTCCCCTCCCAGCACCTGCTCATACAGGTAATCACTGGGGGGAGAGTCTGCCGGGCCATCACTGCTGACGCTGCCTGAAAATAGAGTCATCAAATGAAACTCTCAATCTACAATTAAATTCATACACATATATTATATTCTAAACTCTTCATTCTTTCTCACTTAGGCTAGCAAAGAAAAAATGTACTTGACACCTTTATGAGTTTTTAAAAATTTGACTAGTTATGAACTTATTTTCTTGATTTGGAAAAATACATTCTCTAATGATTTTAAAGCTCTTAGTTATTATAATGATTGGTGATATATTGCAGACAACAAGATAAGTCCTGTTATTCTAGATAATGTGTGACCTACCCTGAGAACACGACCTTGCTGAGCGATCCTCTGACATTCTAGACAATGTCTGACCTACCTTGAGAACACGACCTTGCTGAGCGATCCTCTGTTATTCTAGATAATGTCTGACCTACCTTGAGAACACAACCTTGCTGAGCGATCCTCTGTTATTCTAGATAATGTCTGACCTACCCTGAGAACACAACCTTGCTGAGCGATCCTCTGTTATTCTAGATAATCTCTGACCTACCCTGAGAACATGACCTTGCTGAGTGATCCTCTGTTATTCTAGATAATGTCTGACCTACCCTGAGAACACGACCTTGCTGAGCGATCCTCTGTTATTCTAGATAATGTCTGACCTACCTTGAGAACACAACCTTGCTGAGCGATCCTCTGTTATTCTAGATAATGTCTGACCTACCTTGAGAACACGACCTTGCTGAGTGATCCTCTGTTATTCTAGTTAATGTCTGACCTACCCTGAGAACACAACCTTGCTGAACGATCCTCTGTTATTCTAGATAATGTCTGACCTACCCTGAGAACACGACCTTGCTGAGTGATCCTCTGTTATTCTAGATAATGTCTGACCTACCTTGAGAACACAACCTTGCTGAGCGATCCTCTGTTATTCTAGATAATGTCTGACCTACCTTGAGAACATGACCTTGCTGAACGATCCTCTGTGAAGGACAACAGAATTTCCTTCATTTGACTTGTAGTGGCCAGGTCTAATGGTGTCTGATTTAAAGCAGTTTTACTTTCTAACATGGCTGGACCTAAAGGTATAAATCAAACAGATTTATTGGCTAAAATAAGCAAAAACAACAACAACATGTAAATGTAAGTTATATGCCTCCATGTGCTGATGAACATACACTGGTAGAAGGAACATGAGATAAAGAATATTTCCCCCTGTTGTAGGAGTGTGAGGTAATCAATATTTCCCCCTGTTGTAGGAGTGTGAAATAATTAATATTGTAGGAGTGTGAGTTAATGAATATCTTATTGTTGTAGGAGTGACCTGTGCCCTCTGGATTTGCGTCTACACCAACTGCTTGGGCTCACACCAAAGCCAAGATCAAAATTGCTACATAATATTTTATATTACCACCATGTTGTAAGAATACCTCCTTGTTGTAGGAGTTTAAGCCAATAAATAAATCAACATCTTATCTTGGTTTTAAGCCAGGGAATACCTCTGTGTGATACAAGATGTTGATTACCTCCGTGCTGTAGGAGCAGTTTACACACGTCCAGTCTGTTGTTCATCACGGCATCATGGAGCGGGGTAATCAGGTCATCAGTCACCGCCAACAGGTTCACCTTCCTACACTTCTTATCACCTCCTACACAAAACAGTGGTCCAAGTTAGCAATACAGCATCTACTATTGGGTGTTATTTGCCCACTTAGGATACACATACTACACTGCCATCTTAAGAAATAAAATTTGGAGTTAATGAAAATAATGCTTTCATTCCTATTATAAATTAACTAACAATTTCTCCTGAAGATTAGAGATCCATTTTCACATTTTTGTAAAATACAAATGAGAGTTTACCTGGGCTGAAGAAATGGTCCATAGTTTTGTCAGGAACAAAATTTAGCAGCTCTTTTACAACTTCTACGTGTCCGAGATTACAAGCTTCATGTAACGGAGTCCACCCAGCATTGTCCTTGGTATTAACATCCACACCTAAAAAAACTAGAACTGTCCAAATGGGACAAAATACCCTCCGCTGGGTTTTTCAGAAGTAAGGTTTCCATAATAAAGATATGTATCAAACATGAATTATGAAATTTTTCTTCCAGTGACCTTGAACTTCCCTTAATGACCTTGGGTCAAGGTCATGACACTACCTTGGGTCATGGGCAATCTTTGTGTGAAATGACAACCTACCAAGTTTATCCATAAGAAAGATATGACCCGGACACGAATTACGAAATTTTTCTTCCAGTGACCTTGAACTTCCCTAAATGACCTTGGGTCAAGGTCATGACACACCCTTCGGTGATGGGCAATCTTTGCGTGAAATGAGAACCTACCAAGTTTATCCATAAGAAAGATATGGACCAGACACGAATTATGAAATTTTTCTTCCAGTGACCTTGAAGTTCCCCAAATGACCTTGGGTCAAGGTCATGACACTACCTTAGGTCATGGGCAATCTTTTTGTGAAATGACAACCTACCAAGTTTATCCATAAGACAGGTATGGACCGGACACGGATTACGAAATTTTTCTTCCAGTGACCTTGAACTTCCCCAAATGACCTTGGGTCAAGGTCATGATACACCCTTGGGTCATGGGCAATCTTTGTGTGAAATAAGAACCTACCAAGTTTATCCATAAGAAAGATAAAGACCGGACACGAATTATGAAATTATTCTTCCAGTGACCTTGAACTCCCCCAAATGACCTTGGGTCAAGGTCAGAACACACCCTTGAGTCATGGGCAATCTTTGTGTGGAGTAGAAGATTCTAATGTCCCTCTGTAAGAAAGATATGGACCGGACAAGTTTGCACAGACAAGCAGACAGACGGACAAGATGATTCCTATATATACCCCCCAACCTTCGTTTGGGGGGGAGGGGGGGTATAAAAACAGCCTTCATAAAACATGAACAGGGTCAAAGTTCAAAAAAACATCATAAACAAAGACACTACAGTCTACTTCAGATATATAGATGCTCAAGGGACCAATTTTTTCTTCCCTCATATGTACTCCAAAATGCAAAAATGGCCCATGAAGACATTTTAAATCTTCTTCACTATACAAGAGGCCCACGGGCATACTTGCCAACCTCTGACATGTAAAAATCTGGTCATGACCAGATTTGGAAAGTAAAAAATCTGGTCATAACGCGTAACAACATTCATGACAAATTTACCATCATTAAATTATCTATAAATAAGTATTTGTGTATTGAGAATTCTTAAATTTAAACAAGAGGCCCATGGGCCTTATAGGTCACCTGAGTATTATGCAACAACTTTCCAGTGATTGAATTTGATTCATGTTTTAAGCCAGATGCTATGGCATTCACAATTTTGAAAGAGGCACCATTGATCATCATATCAATACACAAGTTTAGCAGTTGCTTAGTTTGTTTACTTAATACCCATATGCAGGGTAAGGGAACAAAAAATGCATTTCAACTAATCAGTAACATTCAGCAATAATCAATAGTGCCCCTACCACACATGAACCCCTGACCCTTAGGCCTTGATATTTGATTAATACCAAGGAGCAGATTTCAAACCATTCATCCATTTTCAGAATATAAGTACAAACCCCCCCCCCCCCCCCCCCTTCTATGGTACCCTGACCCTGGGGCCTTGAAATTCACAATTCTGGAAGATATGGGCCCTTGTCCAGCATAACTATATAGGTAGTTCATCTGCTTAATACCCTGGAGCAGAGAAGAAAATTTTCAAAGATTTAATGTATTTTCACTATATAATCAATAGAGCCCCGCCCTAACACCAGAACCCCTGACCCTGGGGCCATAAAATTCACAATTTTGGTAGAGGCACTCTTGCTCATCATAACTATGCACTTAGTTAGTTTATTCAATACCCAGAAGCAGAAAAGATTTTCAAAGAATTCATGTATTTTCACTATATAATCAATAGAGCCCCGCCCTAACACCAGAACCCCTGACCCTGGGGCCAAACAAATTCACAATTTTGGTAGAGGCACTCTTGCTCATCATAACTATGCACTTAGTTAGTTTATTTAATACCCAGAAGCAGAGAAGAAGATTTTCAGAGAATTCATGTATTTTCACTATATAATCTATAGAGCCCCGCCCTAACACTAGAACCCCTGACCCTGGGGCCATAAAATTCACAATTTTGGTAGAGGCACTCTTGCTCATCATAACTATGTACTTAGTTAGTTTATTTAATACCCAGGAGCAGAGAAGAAGATTTTCAAAGAATTCATGTATTTTCACTATATAATCAATAGAGCCCCGCCCTAACACCAGAACCCCTGACCCTGGGGCCATAAAATTCACAATTTTGGTAGAGGCACTCTTGCTCATCATAACTATGCACTTAGTTAGTTTATTTAATACCCAGGAGCAGAGAAGAAGATTTTCAAAGAATTCATGTATTTTCACTATATAATCAATAGAGCCCCGCCCTAACACCAGAACTCCTGACCCTGGGGCCATAAAATTCACAATTTTGGTAGTGGTACTCTTGCTCATCATAACTATGTGCTTAGTTGGTTTATTTAATACCCAGGAGCAGAGAAGAAGATTTTCAAAGAAATAATGCATTTTCACTACCTACTTATTTAGCCCCGCCCTAGCACTAGAACCCCTGACCCCAGGGCCATGAATTTCACAATTTTGGTAGAGGACTCATTGCTGATTACAATCATGCAAACAGTTTGACTGCTTGATGTCCAGGAGTTAAGAAGAAGATTTTTAAAGATTGCATTAATTTTAGTGGTTTTGGCCCCACCCCTCAGGCCCCAGGGGGGCAGGGATCATGAAATTCACAATTTTTGTTCCCCTTCAGCCATAGATGCTTTAGGCCAAATTTGGTTGAAATTGGTTCAGTGGTTGCAGAGAAGAAGCTGAAAATGTTCAAATGTTAACGCACAACGCACGACGCACGACGCACGACGACGGACGAAAACGGATAGCAATAGGTCACCTGAGTTTACTCAGGTGACCTAAAAAAGGCTTTAACTTACAAAGACATAAAATTAATATATGTTCAATTGTTGATTAAATATATAGATGTTAAAAAGAGCATTGAAGGTTTCATTATTCAGTACTGACCTGAATTAAGTGTGCATTTTTTTATTTTAAAGAAAGCCTTTTCAGTTAAATTTGTGCTAAACTTGGAAGTATATGTATTTCAGTTTGGAACACTTCTAGTATACCGGTCCCTGTAAATATGGCGCTAAAGTAGGTGCCGTCGAAGGCGGCTTTCAATATATATACCATCGCGTGAGCGATCGACAAAATCGAAAAATAAGCCACAAATCGCAAAATTGACCCCAAATTCGTGTTCCTTGTGAAAAATTGGGTTTAAAAAACTGGTTTTTAAACACAGTTTTTTAAATGAGAATTAAAAGATTTCGTAAAATAACGTACTGGTTTAGGAAGAATGATTCCATCTTGCGTTGTTTAGGAATGTGATCACATGATCATTTCTTGACGTAATCTCATAAATATTCATGAGATGCGTCACTTGTGTTTTGACGTAATGAAGAAATACCTGATAGGATTCAATGTGCAATGCCACTAAAATTGCGAGATTTTTGTGAGAAATACATGGATTTAACAAATAGCTAATTACTTGTCATTGATTGATCAAATTGTGCATCATCATCGATTTGAAAGGATCAATATTCTGAATGTGGACATTAGGAGGTTAGGATATCAAGCTGCAGTTAACGGTAAGTCGCTTTTACAATAACTTGCCTAAACTTACCGCTCAAAATCGGTCATATTTTGACATTAGAGTTGATTCACCCGAACTTTCCATAAAACTTTCATGTTCTCTGTAAAGCGATACATTTCATGAACTGAACCAAAGTGGAAGATAATATATCGGCACGATTCGACATAAGGCTTTTCATGCAAGATTTCAATCACAAATGGCACTCATAGTAGTGCCTTTTGTAAGTAAAAATTACATAAATTAGCCCAAAGACAGAAAGATTACGGAGTGGCTTTATAAAACAACACCTATTTTTAAAAACTATATAACCTAACCCCAATCACTTGATCAGATGCGTTTTGTTGAAAAAAGAGGGTTTGTTTACATTCTGCATAGTAACGACAAGGGAAATAACTGCTCATGCGCAATCGCGTGATTCTGGGGACCGGCATACTAGAAACTTTTTTGAAGTGATTTTTTTCTATCTTCTATTTAATTTAATTAACAAGTGCAATATCTTTTAGATGTACAGGTAGATCTACACTATCTTCGATCACTGTATTTTATAGTATGAAAGTTGTTTTCCAAAATTCCTTCATTGATATTTACGTAAATATTGCTTCTCTTTTTTATTCTTGGTTCAATTTGTTCCTGCTGACCCTGATAACGATCTACTTCTATCGGAAGCCATTTCAGATTGACTTCAAACTTTGATTTGCCTAAACAACTCATAGTTAATTGTTTACACCTGCTCTCATAATTACTGGTAAACGGCCCACTGAGCATAGCCATCGGCATTGTTTACGTAGATCCAAGCTTGGGTTATAACTGGAAGTTAAAAGTGCAACCTAATTTACGAACCAAATCCGGAAATCGGGAGATTTTCTGGTTGTTCGTCAAAAATCGGGTGAAAAGCATGACCCGCCGGGTCATAAAAAATAATCGGGTTAAGAGTCGAAAAATCGGGTGTAACCCGACGAAATCGGGTGAGTTGGCAACTATGCCCACGGGCCTTATAGGTCACCTGAGTATTGTGTAACAACTTTCAAACAATTATATTTGGTTCACGTTTTAAACCGGAGGCCATGAAATTCACAATTTACAATTTTGAAAGAGGCACCATTGCTTATCATAATTATTAACTTAGCATGCTTACTCTATTTACTTAATACCCAGAGGTAGATCAGAGTAACAAAGAGAAAATGCACTTCCACTTTATAACCAGTTGTGCACCTCACCCACTGACCCATGGGCCACATATTTCAAAATTTTGCAAATGTAATCATAAA